GCTTCTCATAAAGGAAGATCCATCCGCGCTCTGTGCCGCTAAGGTACATAGCGGATCTATCTGTGCCATACGTCTCGTAGGTCTGGCCGACCTCAGTCAGCCGCGGAAAAGAGGCCCACATGCACTGGTAGTTCGTCTTGTATGGCTTCACAGCGTCCCAGGCCTCTTCGCGGGCCGGGTCTTCAGCGATGGCGAGCTGGCGCATCTGACGGCGGGTCGCCGAGTGCACGCCATCGGCGCCGAGAACGATGGAACCTGAGTAAGAGGATCCATCTTCGCAGGTGACTGCTACGCCAGTCTCTGTAGATTCGATGCCGGCGAGCTTCTTTCCTGTAAAGTAGCGCGCCTTTGCAGATTCTGGGAGATTGTCGTACAGTGCCTGGATGAGGTGTGCTCTGTGAAACGCGACGGGCCCTGAGCCGTGGCTGCATGAGAGGCAGAAGTCGTCAGCGGCGACTGAATACATCCAGACGGCGAGACGGCCGGCGGACAGGAGGGAAGACTCACTTGTTCGCGAGGATGTTAAATAGCCTGGCAGACTTGAAAACTTGACCGTCAGTGGTGAGGCCCTTGTTGTCCGACAACTTGCAGCCAATTTCTGTGAGCTGGTCGAGGATGCCGAACTGGTGGAAGACGCGCAAGCTGTCAGGGCCCAGGACCAAACTGGCTCCGAGGTCCTCCACGACATTTGTCCTCCGCTCGAGAACGACGAAGTCGATTCCGGCGTGGTGCAGGGCATAAGCAGCGGTGATACCGCTAGGCCCACCGCCAACGATGATCACCTTGAAGGGGTCGCTAGTCATGGTGGACGATTCGATGTGTTCAACGTTGTGTGGTTTCGAGGCGAAAAACACCAATACTTGCGAGGTCGTGACGGAGGTATACCACAGGGCTTTCCGGGCCCAAATAAGCCCCGGCAGGCCGCTCGGTAAACACGCACCGAATAGGATGTTTACCGGGGCGGCACCCAGCCGTTGCATTGCGGCTATGCTGCGTTGGACGACATTAGGCCGGGCAAGGGTGCAGACCGTAAGCTGCTCACCATTGCCGGCCGACCTCTGGGGATGGTTTACGACATGCAACGAACTCCGGCGGGGTTCAAGCCCCTTGGTAGGTGTCAACGAGATGTAAGACCCGGGTTCCTTGTTGACTCCTCGCACTCTCGCGGCCGCTTGAAGTCCGCGCGCCCATGAAAAAGACGTGGCCAGCTGGAGAAGCTTACGCCGTTGCAGCTTGACGAAACTATGTCTGCTCCCCTGCAGATCCAAAGGTTGAATCCGCCGCGCTGCGTCTTCAAATAATTCCCGCCCGCAAAGGGCTTTGCGCACGGGGCAAAACCCACCTGGGCCCCCGAATCCCACCTCGAAACTCCGCCGGGCCTCGACTGCGATGCCCTCCGCGGGTGGTAGTCGTCCGGCAGATGACAAGCGGCACTCCGCATTGTCGGGTCGATCGCCGCCATCGGTTTTTAAGTTGATTCATTGGTGAGGTTCCAAGGTACAACTTCGCTATCCGACCCGGCTCCCTGCATTGTTCAAGACCTCCTCGAACGATCCCGACACTGACCTTGGATGTTGACCTCGAGACGACCAAACTCCTTGAAGACAACACCGTCGGCGTGTCACGCTTGGGTTTACCTCATCTCCATTAAAAGGCACTGGCAACAATCAACAGCGAGAGATCACAATCGCCAGAACTTCCCAAAACTGTTCCCGACGTGCATCGCTATGTTTAACCAGCCGTATTGGCAACTTGCCATGCCTGGAAAGAGGAATGCCTTTCTCGGCGCCGCACATCATCCGAACCATGGAAGGGCTTGGCTCAACTAAATAGCGAGCCCCTGCCGCTGGGATGACTGCGTGCCTTGTCTGGACCCGGCTCCGCCACAGTTCCGGCTCCTTCTACCACCGCCTGACGCGAGGCTAGTGTACAATTAAATGGGCTTTCTGGCGAACGAGAGCATCTAGTAGGAACGCAATGGAGGTAATTAGTTTTCTGAGAACCATCGTGAGCCTATAGGGTATTGCAAAGAGGATATTCACTGGACTTAGCTGTGCAAGCCTGAGAGACAAGCTCTGCTTCTTTCGGCCTTCGCGAAGGATCTGAACCGTTCGAGCTTTTGCCTAGAGACAGCAACTGAATGGAATCCTGACGACAGGGCATCAAAGAGTCACCGGATCAACGTGTTGCCCCAGTACTATAACAACCTTCCCTATTGGGATGGATGATCCGCTCTAACAGGCATCAATTTTCGAACCATTTCCGTCAGACCACGTCTCGAAATCGGGCGCGGGCATAGCAATTCGTCATTACGCCATGGTCATCCCTCACCCTCTCGTCCAACGTCACACAATGACAACAACAAACTGGCAAGGCGAGACATGTTTTGCATATCGCCCTGTGACGACAGTTAGTCTCCTCACCAAGAAAGCGTTCATCAACTCGTAAACCCAGCTCAGGTCTTAGACATAAGCCCAGGGGATGGGGCCCCAGAAAAGCATCCCACAAATCATGCCAGTCTAGCCAGTTCCATCGCCAGCACCAAGCTGGGCACTTTCGAAGTATAAAAACGACCGTGTTCGCTGACCCAGGAAAACGAGCATCAGGCTTTCATCTCAAAACGGGCGTCAACGTCGACTCATTGCAAAAATTGTTACACATCCTCCTTTATCTGTGCAAAATGAGGCCGCTCTTGGCGTTCTGGAGTTTTGTAGCCACTGCAAATGCGGCAGTCGACATCTTGTTACCTCTTTACGTTTACCCCATCAATAACTTGGCGAAGCCTTACGACGGCACTGCTGACTGGCAAGCTGCCATCGCGGCCATCGACGCTCACCCCGATCTCACCTTCAATGTCATCATCAACCCCAACAGTGGCCCACCTTTTGCCAGCGAAGACGGCATCAAAATCGACTGGGCCCAGTGGATCGGTCAAGTCAACAACCGACGCAACGCCGTGACCCTCGGCTACATTTCGACCCTTGGCACCGTTCAGGAGCAGCCTCGTGACATCGCCATTGTCAAGCAGGGTATTGATACCTATGCAGCTTGGAACAGGACCAATGGCTGGGATGGTAACTCTTGGGATATCCACATTGACGGCATTTTCTTCGACGAAGTCAACACCGCACCGGCTCAGCTCCAATACTATACCGACGTGTCCAACTACGCCAGATCCAAGACAGGCATAGTGATCCTCAACCCGGGTGTCGCCGTCGACCCCGCCAGTTTTGCACTATACAGTGTAGCCGATGCTATTCTGTCCCTCGAGACGTGCTACACGGCTGATCCAGACGCGCCTCAGGATCGATGCCCTCGGAACACTTACACCCCATTCACACCCGCATCTTTGAGCACGCTCCCAGCCAACGCGGCCCAAAAAGCCAAATCCTCCGTGCTGGTACATGACTTTTACGATGACTGGGAACCGTATCAGCCTGCCTCGCTGGCCACTCTCCGGACTGATATTAACGCGATTGTCGCGGAGGGCGTGCATAGCCTGTACATTACTCAGTGGGGCTACAACGAGAGTTTCACGCGAGAACCTGCCAATGTCGGCACCGTCGCCAACTTGCTGGCACTGGCTCAAGGTCTTTCATCCGGCAAACCACTGTGAGCAGCTCACGAGGGCAAACCAACCGCACGAGGTTTCGGGTTCGATGATGGATGCCACGGTGGCAGATATCAGCTTACAACTTCTGTGGTTCCCATAGTATTCTGTTCACGAGCCTTTTTAACAAAGCTTTCTTTGCGCCTTTATGTGTAGCAGACGAGCATCGATAACATACTCGCGTTGATGGAACTCGGAACTCGTATCATGAATCCACGCATCTACTTCGACATTTCCAGCTTAGCCAACACCTGTTTGAAGTCCTCGGCAGCCTTGCCTTCTCTGAGCATGAAAAACTGCGCTACACCTGCTCCATTTGGTGCCGTGAATTCTAAGCAGTCGACTGTCTGAAACCCATACTTCTCATATATCGGCTTGGCCGAGGGCATGGCCTCCAGAAATGCCAACAGACCCTCCTCGTCTGCTCTCTCGCAGCCCCATTTCAGCATGGGAGTTGCGGCGCCCTTGCCTTGGTGCTCCCGCCGGCAAATGATAAGTTCCAGGTAATAGTGACGGACATCGCCCATGATCTCGGCGTGCTTTCTTCCGATGGAGCCGAAAAACAGGTTGGCAAATTCCGGATTGCCCTCTTTGGGCCAGGCCTCGATCGGAGGCGGCGACTCGACGTTGTCCTCTTCGTCATTTGCCGGACAGACCCATTTTGCGCAGGCGATGGGCAAACCAGGGTCACCTTCAAAGTCTGGGTCGGTGACGACGAGCCACTCGAACCGAGGGTTGCTCATCTCTTCAACGAAAGACGTAGCCAGAAACTCGCGGCATACTTGAGAGCTTTGGGGGAAGCAAGTTGTCGCCACTGGATTGTCGTGGAACGCCGAGTGGTAAATGGCGGCTAGGGCCGGGCCATCAGCCGGCGTAGCCGATCGCAAGTTGAGGGGCATGATCAGCGGTTGACTATGATCTAGATCTCCAGTGCTCGTGTGGGTGAAAGAATTGGTACCGGTTGAAAATTATTGCTCTGGGACCTTGCTGTTTGTTCAATGGGGTGATAGAGACATTGACTTGGGGTATCGTCAGTTCAGCATTATTGTTTTCGACCTGACGCACTGTTGGCCTTAATGAAGTGGAAGCGTCGCATACAACTACTCCTTTAGGCCTTGTTCTGGTGGGTGGGTAATGTTGCCTCTGTCCTTGGCCGATTTCGCGCGATCGAAACAATGGTGCATCCATTCATCGGAGAGGCTATACTAAACCAAACATTTTCCGATTTGAACACGTCAGTCAAAAATCATCCAAGATGTGCCTAGGACTAAGCTAATGATAGGGAAAAGGTAAGGAAAGGCTAAAAAGGAAGAAAAAATCATGACTAGATGAAACCCCACAGAACGATTTGAAAGCCCGAGCACAAAAGGCAAAAAGGTCAACCCGTATGCGACAGAGATGAGATTTGAACTCATGCGGCCGAAGCCATGTGATTGCGATTCGAATTCGAGTCACACCCATTAACCACTCTGGCACTCTGCCATGATTGGGTGAGGTGTGGAGGGGGAGACCGCTTCTATATACCATTTCCGACGGTAGCCGGCAGCCGGTGCGGGCTTTGATTCCACTGTTGGTTTCGGGTGATGAGACGGGAGTTGCAAGTTCTGGAGATGCTGATAAGCATAAACTTGAATAGCGAGCGCTGTAACTGTGGGACATTTTCCAAATTCGCACCGTCTTATCATGACTTTGTTGAGTATGTGCCACGGCTGTAAAGAATTAACTTCAGTAGTTCATCTGTTCATCAAAATAGATCCCCAGCTGCCAAACTTGCACTCATAAGCTGTAACTAGGCAGATACCTTCCTTTAAGGGAAAAGCTCATGTGGATTGCCAGGTGCATATAGCTCGGAAGCCTAAATGCAAGCTTAAGCAGTAGACTGGTTCGTTCCAAAAGTTCCAAGCACGACATCGGCAAGCGAGTCCGTCGGCCGTCCTCAACCGCGGAGGTGATAACCACTGCAGGGTGGAAGGACGTTGGACATCTTCCAATCAATAGCCCCCGCTTTGTTACAGGGTTACACATCTACATGCATGTGGACGAGCTCACGGAAGCAGTCTTGCGTAATTATGATAGCCCCGCGTCAACGGCGGAGTTTGAGAACAATCCAACCATAGTGAATTGACATGGTTGATAATGGAGGACTTGGTGGCATCGGGCGGTCATATGCTGGGTCGGAGTAACCGGGGAAGTTATAGAAACCCCGCACTGCTTACAGGTAGGTATAGCTCGAATGGTTACATGGCTTCATGGATAGTGACGTTGCTACCTGTAGCATCCTTGCCCTTCACTCTGGCCGACGTTAACCTGATGCACGGAACCGCGAGACCGCTCAATAATCCTACTAAAAGAAAAGACGGTAAAAGAGGTAAACGAGGTTAAAGAAATAACAGAGGTATCAACTACCAGTCAGGACAAAAACTGAACCAAGAAGACGGACATTTCAGATTGCATTTGGCGAAAAGCTCTGCCATGTGTCACCAATATTGCCAAGAGTTTGCGACATCTTAGTTACCTTCCTCTTTCATCTGAGCAATCCAGGTTTATTGAATGCCCGTCTGACAATGGTCGCCATCAATGAGGGGCTCAAGTTGGGGAACGGTGGACAAGCCATTCTCGAATGGCCTTATTTGAACGACATTGTCGCCATCTCTTGGCTTCTCCAAATCGTGCGCGATGATGACACTTGCTGAGGGACCTCATGCAGGCGTGTTGCAACCCTGCCGGTTACTGCGTTCTGGGACTTTTGCGAGGCGTAATAAATGTCGCATTCCTTGGCTTGAGACATGTAGAAGGTTGCTAGAGGTATATAGGACAACGACCCTCCCTTTCGACTCGGCGTCGAGAAGTCTTCGTAAAACCCGTGCTGCTCGGTAGTCTCGGTCTTTTCCCCAGCTGTGCCTGCATTCGATCAGTTGTTGAAATGAAAACCGTCCACTTGGCTTTTGCGATTGGAGCCCTCTCGGGGGCGTCCATCGCCAGAGAGCTGGAGCCAAACGCCGAGCTCTCGGCTTGGTATGACACTGGTGCCGCCCATCAGGAGAACATGGACCACAAGATCGTAAGCCAGACAAAATCAACAAATTTACACTATTGCTGATGCCGCATAGGCCCAATGGGAACAAGCAGAGGCCGAGGGCAAGTTCGACTCGGCTCAATGGACCGGACGCGTCAAGGACTATCTTGCCTGCAAGGACGGCAAGGTGGAGCTTGTCAAGGGCGACCCTCTTCAGACCTTCAGATGCAAGGACGTAAGTATCGCCCTGTGCTGGGTTGGCTCGAGACGAACTCCCATGCTTGTTATGTGAGGCTTTGGCTCATACATCCCAGCTTGACCTCTACGATTTCCAGCCTCACGCCGCTTTCGGTAACTCTACCGGCAGAGGTTCAGGTTCTTGGGGTTGGACGGCGCCAAATGGCAGAGAATTCTTCGCAATTGGGCAACTGGATGGCACTGCCTTTGCGGAAATTTCCAAAAATGGCAAGCTGATCTACCTTGGCACCCTGCCATACTACTCCGAGCCGAGCAGATGGCGCGAGATCAAGACGTACAAGCACTACCTCGTGGTGGGCAGCGAGGCTCCTGGCCATGGTATTCAGTTCTTTGACTTGCGCAAGGTGAGAGATTGGTCACCTTAATCCCTAGGGCGAATTGGTTAGGAGCTGGGATTTAGCTAACACAGATGAAGCTTCTCGACATTAACCCCAAGAACCCCGTCGTCTTCTCCAACGAGAAGGATTTGACAGCGCACTGGACCGAGGCCTTGCCCCTTGGCCGCAGTCACAATGTCGTTGTCAACGAGGAGAGGGGCTACGCCGTTGCTGTTGGTGCCCAACCCCGTCTTAATCTGCCTTGCGACTCTGGTCTGCAATTCCTTGATCTTGCGGATATTACCAACCCTGTTTACTTGGGGTGTGCTGCTGGTGATGGTTACGTCCATGATGCGCAGTGTATCGTCTACCGCGGGCCCGATGTGAAGTACTGGGGACGCGACATATGCTACGGATACAACGAGGATACTTTGACAATGTATGTTCTCCATGGACTTCCATGACCTCCGCTGCCACTGCAATTAGAGCTGACCACCGTGAAAGCTACGATGTGACCGATAAGAACACCACCAATATCATCTCTCGCACCAGTTATGATGGTGCGACTTACACCCATCAAGGATGGGTTTTCGACCCCAACTGGCAGGATTTCCTGGTTCTGGATGACGAGATCGATGAGCGAAACAAAACCGGCCCCGCTGCCGACGGCTTTCCGGTGACATACTTCTGGGACATTCGATCCCTGCAGAAGCCGAAGCAAAGCGGAATCTTCAAGGGCACCGTCCGCAGCGTCGACCACAACCAGTTCATCCACCGTGGTCTGTCTTACCAGAGCAACTACGGCGCCGGTCTCCGTATCTTGGACGTCTCGTCCGTGCGTTGGGACCCTACGGCTAAGCATGTGAAGGAGATCGCCTACTTTGACATCTTTCCTGAGGACGACAATGAACCAGGTGGTGGTGCCAACAACTACACTGGTACCTGGAGCCACTATCCATACTTCAAAAGTGGATACATTGTCATCAACACCATCGAACGCGGTGTTTGGGTTGTGAAGCGATCGAGCCCTTGGTGGTGGCCCTGGTGAAGCGAATCATGTTGTAGCGGGCACATGTTGTCGACCCCTGCAAAGGAGTGTTGACGAGGAACAGCATTGGAGCCATGTTCATTTCTTTGTATATAGTACATCAAATGCAGTCAGATCATTCATCATTTACGAGCCTCCCGCCCATGTCCCGCCGATCGATTTGTCGGTGACAAGATGTAAAAATATGTGTGTAGCATGGGATTGCTTGACTTGATACTGACATCTGAAAATCAACCCATCCAGCACGAGCGTGTCAAAAGATGAGGCTCTACGCGATTTCGGCACAGGTCCGCTGGTGCTAGCATCTGATCGAGCTTTTGACTCCTTAGGTCTCTCATGGCAGAAACCGATCGTTGGCAATTGAGCATCAATGTGACAATTAGACACTCGAATCCTGAGTATCAACGCATAAGAGGTTGCGCCTGGCCTGTCCTGGAAATCGATGGTTAGATGCTATGCGCTACCGACACTTTCCGGCCTATGCAAATCCACTAATTTGTCTAAAGGGTTATCAGAAGACCTGTGGAACTACGAGAAATCTAACTAAGTCGGCGAAAGAGAGACTGGGCGAGTTGCATATTGAACCCAAGCGAATCAAGGTACAGCAACAGACCGCTTCCCACATTCGTATAACTAGTTAGTCTCGGACTTCTCTTCTGACGGCTCGGCTTTCATCGGGCTGAGTATGACTGACAATTGGCGCCCTTCGGTTGTCGTTAGCGTGGCCGGCTTGAACGAAATCAGGCATTCTACCCCACAAAGAGTCATCTTCTCTTTGGTATGTGCTTCATGAACTTTGTCCTTCGAAGTTACTACCCAGCGCAAAGGGTATGAAAAACAAACCCCCAGGGTGGCCTATGCAACCTAGGATGAGCAACGAACTTGCACAAGAGCTGAAGCAGCTTCACACCCCAGCGTCACCCATCATATTCGCCAATGTCTGGGACCTTGCTTCCCTCAACGCCGTCTTATCCCTTAACACAACCGAGTCTAAGCCCGTCAGAGGCATCGCAACTGCATCGTGGGCTATCGCAGCGGCACTGGGCATCAAGGATGAGGAGCTTAGCCTGGAGCAAAACATGGCTGTCGTCGCCCAAATCGCCCACGTGGTGAGAGGTGCCTGCCTCCCTCTCTCAATAGATCTCCAAGACGGCTACGGTGAGCAGATTGAGGAAGTGGTAGCATCAGCAGTCAAGCTAGGGGCTGTCGGCGCCAACATTGAAGACAGCATCCCTTCGGCCGGGTTTGATAAGGGCCTCAGCGGGTCACTTTATGACGCAGACACGCAGGTTGTCCGTTTGAGGCGAGCGCTGGCAGCGGCGCACGAGGCCGGATGTCCCGACTTTGTGATCAACGCCCGATGCGACGTATTCCGGCTGGAGCCTCACTACGCCAGCGACGAGGAGACTGCAGTCAAGGAGGCCGTGCAGCGGGGACGGGCTTATCTAGAGGCCGGCGCGACGACCGTGTTTTATTGGGGCGGTGCGGTGCGGGGGCTTCGGACATCGGAGGTCGAGGCTCTTGTCCGAGAGCTCGGGGGTCGTGTTGCGGTAAAGCTGGGCGATCGGCCTGACTCGCTGTCGACAGAAGAGCTGGCTCAGATTGGAGTGGCTAGGATCAGTATTGGACCGAGCTTGTATCTTGTGGCAATGAATGCCATGAAGGATGCAGCAAGGAGGATTCTAGTCGGGATCAAGAATGACGCGAAGCTAATTTGTATTCAGAGAATCCTGCACCTTGGCTCAATACGTAAACAGTTGAAACAGTTTCTTATGTGCCGCTCCAAATATGATTTCAGACAGAACTCGAAGAAGTCCCGTTCTGTGAAATATTTACAGAATGT